TGGGCGAGCCCGATTATCGAGAAGTCTTATAAGAAATATGACAAACCTATGAAGATAGCCTGGGATTCAGCGGAAAAACCCGAGCAGGACCGGTTTCTGGCAGATGCCATTCGACGACTTCTATATGCGCCAGATAGACTCCTCTAATGCCGATCTATGCAACACTGGTGGTCGGACTGCCGGGGTGAGTCTCACCTTCTATATGTCTCCTAGAAGAAGAAGAAAAAACTCGCTTGCTTGGTGCAAACTCTTTTTTGAATTGGGATTGTTGTGTTGCGCTTGGCGTTCGTGCATAGTCTTGTACTGCGGCTATCTTCTTGAGGGAGTTTGTCGACGGCTTGGCCTGTAATGCGAAGGAAGGATCCGACCAAGCTCAAGATACGGTGGAATATGCCCACATCGATATCGGTACGCTCTTCCACTCAACTACTTCTTCATCTTGCATATCCCTCATCTTACATTCTTTTCTCTTTTCTTTTTTTTTGTTTGGATTAGCTGGAGCTATGGAATGCACCTTGCCCGATCCGTGCAACCCGAAAGGACTCACCGGTCGACCTGTTCGGGCGTTGATCGAATACATCCGTCAACAAGCCGCGCTCCATTGAATCTACCGAGTATAGTCGATACTATATATCATATGTAATGTTTGTCTCCTACTACATCAGCAATCATTCCTCCACTTAAAGAACAAGGAAGATCAAATCCAGAACTGGGGTGGTTCGGGGTTTCAGGAAGACAGTCTCTTCCTCCTCTGACTCACCACCCCCCTCTACCATAATCCTTTTTGCTGCTTTTTATCTACATAACTTCAATTAAAAAAATGAATGAATGAATGAATGAATGAATGATTTGATGTCAAATTTGTTATTCTACACATGTGTATATGTGTATGTGGGCGAGTCAGGACTTTTGGGATTCTGTCCCTCTAGTCACTGTCGGCACAATGCAAATAGGGTCTCATCACTCCACATGAGTAGAATGAAGGGATGGTGGGCAGTTATGAAGTCTGCAGGTTCGGTCTTCCCAAATCATCCATTAGGTTGATCATCACTGGGACTTCTTGGTCTACAAAGTTACGCAATTATTTAGGGCAACCAAACATCTATTCTTCAAGGGGGGGGGGGAATTAAATTGACTCTTTATGCAACTTCATACCTGGCCCATTCCAGGAATCATGCTTACACATTCTTGGCTGATGACATCTGCTTGCGCGAGGCTTTGGACATCGTCTTGAGATCTTAATAGTCATCGATGTCAGCCATGGTTCCTCATATCTCTTCTGTTGGTTTGGTCTGACAGTCATCAGATGTTGGATTCCCTTTGCCATGCATTTGATGGATTATTCTTTTCTTATTCTTGCTCAACTACGCAATTTATGTAGGGTTTTCAATCCAGCTATTTATGTAGATTCATGTGATATCAATCAGTGGTCTGGTTCTCTTCTTTTGTGCTTCCTGTGCTGGTCCACTGAGACTGCTCCTCCTCAGTGTCACTCCTTCTTTTTGTTCCCCCCCCCCCCTCCCTTTTAAGCAAGGAATTCATAGAACTTACAAAAAAAAAACAAGAGCCCCCAATCTCCAGGAACATTGGCAGGGCTCTAGAGATCTTTCCACAGGTAAAAATGGGTGCACTATCTATGAGCTTCTGTTGGTGATCCTTGTTAGATGGCATCTTTTGCCCAAACTCATGTTGGATTCTGTACATAAATCCACAGCTGATCTGATTTACTGGGGGTGTGTAACCTATGAGCTCATACATAGGTCTCACTATCAGTCATATATATAGTAAAACTTGGTTTACATAAAGTAGTGTACAGTTGACTCTGAGATAACCCATAGCTGAGAAAACCCATACTTCTATTAACCCATAGGAAAATCTGTCTCCCAAGTTGGTGGGCAGGGAAAAATGGGTCTTAACCCATAATTCTGCATTCTGCAGTAACCCATACCCTTTTTGAGAAAAAAACTGGAAAATTATGGGGTTTTTTCACCTTCCAGTCAAGCATAAAAGACTTTTTCAAACATGGAACCTCTTCTGAAGACCAAGACCACTTGTGATTTTTTTTCTTTTCTACCTCAGAGTCTGTTCCTGTCTCAGAATAATCGCATAAATACATAAATTGTAGATAGATCAAGCAAAGAAGCTGATGCATACGGGCTACATGGGTACAGCCATACCAAAATCAAAGAAATCATAAAAACAATGTCTGTGTTAACCCATGATAATCATGGGTTAATACAGCTTTATGCCTTAACCCATGAATCATGAGCTAAGACAGATCTCGCCCCCAAGCCATGATTCTATTACCCCATACCAAAACCTTTCTCCCAAGGGGTATGGGTTATCTCAGAGTCGACTGTATATTGGACTAGATATTAAATAATACATGGATGTTTGGAGTACATAGACTGACGGTTTCCGATTGGTTTCGCCGCTGGCACTGTGCACTGCTGTGGAGGTGATCTGACACAGTTTGAGCGAGTTTGTGGAGGTTCAACTTGTCCGTGAATCCATTTCATGGCGGGTGGGTAGTACATAGCTGCCAATGTGAATTCCCCCCCCCCTCCTCCCTCTCCATATTTTCAAATATTCAGCTTTGGCGTCTTGGAAAATGAAGCATTCCTTAATAGGGGGGATTGTGGTCTTGCTTCATCTTGAATTCCTCTCGGGAACCATCAGACGCAATCTTGAGCTCTTCTCAGATCTAGATTTAAGATTGGGCAATGAGCAAGGTAACTTTGGTCATGACTCGTAAAATTATCTTGAGCCTCCGTAACAGTTGATAATGATTTCATTTTTGTTACAGTATCAAAGAAAAAATTGAAAAAATTAAGACTATTTGGTCAGTTTACAGGCTTGTATTCTTGGTATAATCCTGGTTATCAGAAGGTCATGTATGAGGATTCTCACGGCTCTTGTTTCTGAAGATGATTTTGCAGATGAAGGCGGCTTGGTCGAAGGAGTTGATAAATCGAGAAAACACCCATCTCCCCTAGTGCAACCTTCTTGCGAGATTGGATATGATGGAACCTTTGCCCCATTTGCGAAGCGACCAAAGTTGGATCTCAGTTTATCCTTGGGCCTGCCTGCTTGGTGTCAAGACGAAATCACCCAAACCGGTTCATCAAGCCCTCGATCACCAAAGAGGAATCCCAGTGGTGAGTGAACCCAACAAATCTTTCCCTTTTTTGTTTCTCTCAGAAACATGAACTATGATGAGGAATAGTATTCAAGTCCTTCTATGCTGTAAGGGGGAAACTGCAGAGCGACATTGCTTCTACAACACACAGGGCCTTCATTGAGGGAATAGAATTCATGAGACACCTGACCAACTAATTTTCTTCTTGATTGATACAGGTTTAAATCAGCCAGTCTACACCATCTCGAAAGATGTCAATCGTATGTTGGGGCAACCCAGCCAATCAGACAGTCTCAATGTGTTTGGTGAAAACAGAGTTATGAAACTCAAATCTTGTGCTCCAAGCATAATAAAAATCAAAGGAGAAGATAGTACAACAGGTGATGAATTGTGTTTGTACCACACGACAAATAATGTCGATTCCACAAGTGCCCAGGACAGGTCCAACGATGACAAACACATTGTTCAAGGGAAAGAAGGGACTTGGCCTCTCAGAGGAGCTGACTTTCGGGTGAACTCCAAGTTTTGGGCTTGGATTTCGGTGATTTTTGGTCATTTGAAAGGCCAAACATATTATGGTTTAAAAAGAGAATCAAAGGCCAAAATCGATAAACTGAGAACTGCATACTTCCATTACAAAATGAGGCAAGGCAAGAAAACAGACCAGGAACTTTGTGAAAATTACTATACAATACGACGATTAGAAGGAATCACACAGCTTTTGTGGGTTGCAAATGCACATATACTCCAGAATTTTGCCAATTTTCAATCGGGATTAAACTATCTTGAAGTACAAGCAGAGCTCCAGAACTGGTTTGTGAAATTCTTGAGGAGGTGTAAGAGCAACATCTCATTCATGAAGACTGGAAATCATGCTTCTCCCTATGACTGGATGGAAATTGATGAACTGAACGTTTATCATAAAATGGATAAATCACTTCATGCAAAAGCAGAAATGACTGCCTACCAAGTTTACCAGGAAGGCTTAGAAAAAGAATCTGTTTTGGTATCAAAACCACAACTTCTTATTAATGAATCTGTGTTTTGTTTGCTTAGTCTTTACTATAAATTTATGAGTAAGGAAAAGTGGGATTCTATTTTTGGAAATGATAACAATCTTATTCTTCAACTAGAAACATGGAGACCTATGATGAAAGAAAACCCAGCTCAAGCATATTCAAGTATGGGTTCAAGAGAAATAAACCAGTCTCTGATCCCATGGAAAGCATTCTTCAATTCAAACGAATTCAACCATGAGACATTGAATCTTGAAAATTTTGTGAGGCCAATTTTCAATGAGGAAAGTATAGATGAAATACATCACACTAAGATTGCATTTGATTTTGATATTGAAGATCAATTTGAAGAGAAATGGGCATGGATATCTAGGGTAAAACTGAATAAAAAACATGGATATGACAAATTATTCCAACCAACATCTGAGAAAATGACTAAAGAGGTGAAGATTTACCTTATGGATTTCGCTGAAAGTTACTTGAATCCAGAAAGAAGAATCATACTTTCAGATCTTCCTGAAAGTCAAATCTGTGAAAAGCTGGAAGTGATATTTGACATTCTTTGGGGATTGAATCAAGAAGTAATTGAATTCTTTGGATGTAAGATCCTTGGAGAAGACTATTCACATGATCAAAAATCACTTCAAATGTTCTTCTTATCTTGCTTGTCTAGATTCAAGGTGAAAGACTCACAAGAAATTCAAGAAAGTTCTGAAAATTTAAAAAATAAGATCAATGAGAAAATTGTAAAATTGATGGTAGATATGTTAACTTTAGAGAAAAATGAAGAAATATTCACAATTACATCCATGAGGAAGAAGAGTAAAAGTCCTTCAATTTTAACACAGGAGGACTTGATCTTGGGTCAGATGACTGTGAACATACTTGGTTATTACTACAAGAACAAAAATCAAACCAAATATTTCCATTTTTTTGGGAATGATGTATTGTTTTTCCAATTTCTGTTGATCAAGAGCTCAAGACTATTCTACAGTTTTGAAAAATATGACAAAGACAGATTTGAAAAATTTAGAGAAAGTAAAATAATCCCATGGGAAAATGAAGTGATTGGTGAACTACCTGAAGTTAGATTCAAGCTTGGTTGTAGACAGAACTTAGAATTACATAGGTGGATAAAAAGAATTAATAAGACCCCTTGAAGTCATTTCTTGAAAATCTTGAGGGCATATATAAAAAAACTCAGTGAACTTCAAGTTGAGATTGTACAAGTTGATTTCAAATTCTTATTTTAACTTGTTTCAATTTCACCTTGAATCTGGTATTATGCTTGTAACTCAGGTCTCCTAAATGGTCAATCTACCTTAAAATAATACTCCACAATTTTTTTATTGCCATTTTTCTTCTTTTTAGTTTCAACTGGAGAACTTCCCTGAGTTGGTGAAAAAGCTGAATTCAGATTTCAATTTTTTTTCAGTTTGATGAAAACCCC